CGACTTGAAGAGTGAAGTGCAGAACGATCCAGAATTTCTTAAAAGAATTGTGACTGGCGATGAGTCTTGGTGCTACGGGTACGATCCAGAATCAAAGCAATCATCAAGCCAGTGGAAAACTCCAACTTCACCATGACCGAAGAAAGCGCGTCAAGTGCGATCCAATGTGAAAACAATGTTGATTTGTTTTTTTGATGTGAATGGCATTGTCCACAAAGAGTTCGTTCCACCAGGACAAACAGTGAACCAACATTTTTACCTGGATGTGTTACGAAATTACGAGAGTGTGTGCGACGAAAACGGAAAGCAAAATTTCACGCACACTCTTTGTTCCTTCTGGTCGGCCATCTCACTAATCGCCAAAGGGTTGAAACAGGAACACACACAACAGAGCACCACAGACAAACCACTTAACTCAGACTGACACCAGCTCACTAACAGTCACGGGAGACCCCCAGCTAACACCACCTAGCAGCACAACTCGTAACTACAAAGCATGCGCGCGCAACAGGTCGGTTCTGGTTATTTTTGGGTCCCCCTTCGTATATGCAAAGAGGGTTATGTTCTCAGAAAACTGCAGCGAGGTCTCAGTGCTTGAGACGTGATGTGAGTGCTGGTACATAAAAATCAATGAAGATAAAACTCAGACCATAAACTTTTCTCATAGATTTAGGTTCCCCGAGGCTCATCTTACACTGAATGGATGGATATCCTCTTCGTCAATCATGTAAAATATCTCGGTGCATTCTTTGATAAGAGGATTACATGGAGACTGCTTAAAGAAGTGACCGAAGCCAAGCCCTTCAGAACATTTATTAGAATCTACTCCCTATTCAAAAGTGAGTGTTTAAGCACCAACATTAAACTAGCCCTCCATATGGCACTGATCAGATCAGTAATGACTTATGCTTGCCCTGCATGAGAATTATGAGCAGACACCTACCTCTTAAAATTTCAGCATATATAAAACAAGGTTTTCCACACCATTGGAAATTTTCCAAGGTGCATATCAGACAGCGATTTGCACGTGGCCTTCAACCTTCCATGTGTATACCATCATACGTGGCATAACAAAATTACAAAGGCAACAAGTAGAAGTCATACATGGTAATCAGATCAGATTCCATATGTACTTCTTAACCACCTATGTAATTAACTCCTGAAGAAGGTCCCATTATCAATTTTTGGACATTATCCACTCTCCTGTTTTTTTATTTAAAACCATTTCAGAGACTGGATTCTGTCTCCATCCTCAAGTAAAAGCCTACACGATTTGGCCCAATTGATAGAGCTAGTCAGCTAGTCCCTCAGAGACAGGGACTGGCTCTACTACTTGGGCCCAACTGAGCAGGCTTTTACTTCATGATGGAGACAGACTCCAGTCTTCTGACATGCCATGTTTAAATAAAAAATAGGATGCTGGATAATGTCCAAAAACTCAGTAAGTGTATTAACAAAGCACAATAGATCACTGAAAGTCGCAGTGTTAGGGCCAGTTTTATGGCCCACCCCTGATACTCAACTGTATCGACATACCATCATCACAATCTTTTAGATCTTGTCCTCAAGAATGACTCTGCCCTGTGGAATTACTTAGTTTTAGTTACTTGTATCAACTGCCAGGGTTGTTTTGCTTTTGTCATTCTAAGGTGAGATAAAATGAATGGAAATAAGAAAATATTCTCTTTCATAAAACATGCCTTACTAAAGATTAGTTCACTATAAATCTCACATCATGGACGGAAGTGATCTATACATGTCACAGATACACCCACAGCATCCACCCAGAAACAGAACAAGACCAGGGCACCAACAGTACAACTTAAATCTAATGACCAATTAACAATATCCACTCATTCATAGCTATGCAGTTTTCTTCATAACATCATTTTTATAGACAGTGTTTAAAAAAGTCAGATGTTAAGGTCAGGGACATCTGCGGCATATTTCTGAAGCTGTACTTAAGAAAATATGATACTCACATCAGAGAGTCCCACAGCTGGCTCTGAAGCATATCCCACTTCCTGAGCATCCTCTTCATCAGCTTCATACTCTTCCTCTGAATCTGACGAAAAAAGGGAATTCAATATACACTAGCAACATTTAATTTTTAATCTTTTCCACTCTTAAAATGTAAAGCATTATCATTTGTTATTTCCATCTAAACAAATGAATTTTTCAAACAAACCTGTGTACAAAGAGAAATATGACTATAGTGAATGAAGCAGATCTAGGACTGGGTTCTCTAGTTTCCAAAGGAATAAGAAACCAAATTTCTGGAAGAGATGTAGCACTAACTTGATAACATTGTGATGATTATTATGTTGACAGCAGCTTGTAATGGGGCACAACAATAACTACCATCACATCATTTTTATCTTCCCCCTGTCAGGTTCTACAAGTTTTTCTATTAACTACATGTATGACAACAGTCAGCCCCTGTATACTTGTAGTCAGTCCTTCTCTAAATACCATTGACTCTATAGGTACAAGGAAAAAAAAATAAAAAAAAAATAAAGCTATCCCTGTAACAGGCGGTGAAGGCCCATAGGGTTGTGAAACATTGAGGGTCCCACATTATCTAGACAATCAGCTCAAAGATGGCGGTAAGGTTGTCAGCCTTATGTGCCAGCCGTGCTTTACTCCCCAGGAAAATTTCATAATTAATTCCTGGTACTCATTTTTGTTAGAGGCTGAGTCGACCCCAGGGCCATATTGCGGCCAGAAGGATTACGTCAACTGAAAAAAATTCAATGACCTCATCAGGACTTGAACCCACGACCTTCTGGCTTGTAGCATAGTGCCTCAACCAACTACGCTACTGTGTGCCTCCTCTAAAGGTATAATACTTTTCTTAAAGATGACACATGAATTTAGAAGATTAATCCAAAATTCATCCATTTGTTGCTAAGGACGTTTACTCTTAAAACGCCTGGTGCTATTTGTGATAATGAAATAGGGACAACTATACTACACATTGTGTGAAATTCTAATGTATGTAAGTTAGTGACTATAAATATCATGAGAGTTGCAGCTTTTGTTTACCCATTTCCTATCTACAGCAGACAAGTCAAGAAGATACAAGGTACTGTCCCTGTAAGTCAGAGAGGAGAAACAATAAATGTGCACAGAATATTGGTGGGAAAATCTCTTGCAATGTGAACACCTGGAAGACAGTGGATGTGATACACAAATGATGAGTTGGATTTGGGATACAAATAAACTTTCTTTCGCTTAGTGAATACAAGTTAGAAGTTCTTAATTTGGTTGAAAATTTGAAACCATATATGACATAAATGTCAGTTTATGATCTGAAAATTCAGATGATTGATTACATGCTCTTTAGTAAGCAGCATTCAAATAAACTGAGACAAAAGAGAAGTTGGTCTCATTTACCAATAACAACAACTGCCACTACCAAACACTCTAAACTGGAGATACTTCCAGTAGGCTGATGTCTTCTTAAAATTAAATTCTTGGAACTTCACAATAATTGCATTTTTCAATTTCCCTTTCTCTATATTATGAATAACAGTTATGTGACTGGATTTATATTAAAATTAATGTAATTCATACAAATGTATTTCCAATATCCCTACACTCACCTGACTCATCAATGTACTGATTATGAGCCACCTTGCATACCATCTGTGCCAGATCAGTGAATGTATAGCATGATGACTCATGTGGATGACTTGCCTTTCCCTGTTCTGGTTTAAAAATAGGCAGCAAACCTGCCTTCAATAGTCCAGCAAAGTACGTCTTCCCATGGTTATACCCAACCTCCTACATGAAACGAAAAAGCCTCTGTTTAGGAATAGCTAAAAACAAATCAAGACTGCCTCGACTTTCTAAAAAGAAGCTCACTGTTATTTCACACTTCCAGGGAAAACATGGAGGGAATACTGGAAATTCTGTCATCTAGCAAGGAAGTTCTTATCATGCAAGATTTGAGGTTTTTACGGGAGTGACTATGAAGAATACCCTCTTCTGGGATGTGGCACCATGTATATCTTGTGTGAACCGACATTTTGGAGGAATGTATTGCCTCCATCTTCAGGGTAGAAAAATCCGCAAGGAACCAGCGTGAGCAGTTTGCAGCCACCTGATCACATTGGTTTCTCACTCACGGATTTGTCTACCCTGAAGATGGAGGAGATACATTCCTCCAAAACATTGGTTTACATGTGATCTACAAGGCGTCACATCCCAGAAGCTGGTATTCTTCAAGTGCTTATTATTTTTTTTATTAATCACAGCCACTATCATTACTGTTCTCCCCTCTATTCCAGACTTCATGCTACATGTGAACAAAATATCTGGTGCTCTTTCACCAAGGAGTGCCTATACAATTTGGATATACTGGTAACCCTTTTCTCTGCTTCTAGACCTTCAAAAAATTTAGAACTGAGGTCACAGTTAACACAATTCATTGTTCCCAGCAATTCAGGAAGTCACACCCACTTGCTATTTCTTATGCAAGAACTAAAAGTCACACGCTATGGACACATTTTGAACTAGATAATGAGAACATTAACCTTTATCTTCCTGTCATAGGATCCCCACATGGTAAGTGTCTTGTGTAGCTTCTTTGCTGGTCTCCCATGACAGTAATCTCAATAGTGAAGGACCGCCTCTGTGGCATGGTGGTCAGAGTTCCTGGCTACAGAGCAGAGGTCCCAGGTTCGATTCTTGGCACTACCAGATTTTCTGAGAAGTAGTGGGTCTGGAACGGGGTCCATTCAGCCTTGTGAGGATAACTGAGGAGCTATTTCAAGGAAACAGTGGCTTCGTTCTAGAAAACAGAAATTAACAGCCTTGGGGATCTGTTGCGCTGACCACATGACACCCTCTATCCACAAGTTGGCACTAACTTCGCCGACAAGCAGCGATCACTCAGTCGGTATAGGTCGCTTGCAGACTACAGGCCATGGAATAGGAAGTGAAGTACTACAACTATGCAATCTGCCTATCAGTATGTTCAGTTATATAACACTATTGCTTCATAAAAATGTAAACAGAAGATATACAAGTATTTACAGAAACTAAATCAGGGTTGTGTAACATAACAGGTATAATTTATCTGAAGTTTAATGGTAAGTGGATACAACAGTGACAATTCTTTATATATACATCTGGATAATGAAAAAATTAAAATCTAATTCTGGGACCATTAGGTGTATAAACAGTTCATGCCATACATGCACACAACTGGGTTGAATGAATCCCATAAACACACAAATAGCCTGAAAAGTGTCTGATCAATAATTTGAAAAATTAGATAACTGCATGCTTTTTGTAATGGCTAACAAGGACATTTTATTACAGAGTTTGTGTTTGTTAGGCTAAATTAAGAACCTGCAAATTGCACAGAGCACATCCATACTGTAAAATAAATTCTAACTCGATGCATGCTTGGCAGATGATGGCAATATGAACAATCTGCTTTAGTAAAATATAAAACAGCAGTTACTATTCCTTATACAGAAACATACCTTGATTTCATCAAAACTTCCGAATTGCAGAGTCTTGTATTTGTCAATTGGTGGCCTGATATATTCACAGTAATCACTATTCTTCACTTCCTGTGGGGAAAAAAAGAAGTACTCCAAATCCCTGTTGTACTAGGCTATAGCAACTGGATATGGGCTCGACGACCGAGAGGTCAGAGTTCGAGTCCCGATAGGGTCAAGAATTTTCACTTCTCCATGTTGTTCAGACTGGTTCTGGGGTCTACCCAACCTCATATACAATGAGTACCTTGAGCTCTTTCCCGGGGGTAAAGCGGCCGGGGCGTGAAGCTGACCACTCACCTCCAACTAGTGCCAAAGTCAAGACAATGTGGATCTATACATCCAATTCCACATATGCCTTCATGGCATACTGCTTAATTAATTAAGCACAGGGACAACTTTATCTTTTTTGCCTTTACCTCATAGGAGGGAGTATTTTTCTGAACAATGGGTACATGAAGCATCATGTGGTTTTAGCATTTATAACATTCTTGTATATCAGCAAATGAAATTAATACCACAAAATTTCAATACCAGGTGCCAAGGATGAGCTGCTTCATCAGGGCTATCACACACCTCAGGAGGTGGTGATAACTGACTATGGAGCAGACAGAGTAACGATTAGCAGGGACAAATCAAAGAAACTCTAAGAAAAACCTGCTCCATCATAAATCTCACATGAAGGCAACCAGACTGAACCCAGGCCTCCATGGAGAAAAGTCCAAGCTATGGTATGGCTCCTCCTTCCATTTTTCATTTGAAACTAATTTATGTTACCTCTGAAGCTGACACAGATCTATAAATATATTAATATATATGGGGGAGGCCTTAAACAGGATGTCATATGGAGGGTGCAGCAGTAAAACTGGGTGAATAAAACTAAATTTTTAACAGCGTTTTATGGGACCATCTACACAACAATTATATCAGCGAACAAATTGATACTAATATACCAGCATTCCTTCATTTGGTAAAGGTGTCGCTACATGCTTCGACCCTTACAGGATCATAATCAGGCGAATCTACAGAAATGTATCCTATTCACTGAATTGTTTTCTTAATATTTTACCATTTCTTCTTGCGAACACACCCTCTGTTCAAACATAATTTAATGAATACATAGTTTCTTTAAAATTAAGCTTAAAAATTAAAATTAAATATATGGTTCAGATTAATATTAATATAATCTTTATCTTAAATTTCCAAATTATGCTTTAATTTTAAGACTGATTCCAAATTAGCTTAAAACTAGAAGTTTTTAGGTTCATCTCATTTTGTTATGGTCATTGTTAAGTGGTAAGGTATATGTCAAAACAACATGTGGGGGCCCTTCTGGGAGTCTGTCACATATGTTTACTTCTTTACCATAAAACAGGGATCCCTTTGCATACATACATAAGCAATAAAATCTCACCATATGTGGAAAACAAAATTGTGGGGGTGGCATAAAGAAAGGACTTGTTTTTTCTCTCTTCCTCTTGTCATTCTTTATTTATTTCTCCCTTCAACCAGCCTACTGATTTATGGGACACAAGAGTGCTAAACATGTAAGTTCCAATGTCTGCTTTATAATACCCTAGTCACTTGTCTCTATCTGATACGAAATGCTACAAGTCTGTCCAGTGTTTACTTCATTCATCATGTGGTTCAGTTATATGCATATGAAATCAAATATATATCGATTAATAAATGGATCATCAATATACTAAAAATTAAATGTTTTCCCTTCTACTCACCTCCAGCTGACGAACACAGGATACATATGCAAGTCGAGATTGAATATCAGGCAGATTGGGTACTTTAACTGGTGATGCAAATGGATTCCAGCGCTTCCATAACAACCACCAGCCTGACAGACAGTCACCATAGTTGGTGAGATCTGTGTCATCCTGGGAGCCAACATCAATTGCAAGAATATGTTTTGCCCCATGACTTCGCATCACATCCGCTGTTGGAAGAATTAACTACATTTCACTACCAATTCAGGTTGGAAAATACACTATTCATTTATATATACTGGAAACAAAAATTGCATGGAAGCTTGTGCATTTGTAAACATTAATTTTGACCCCAACATTTTCCCATGCTCTTAATTAATTTGTGTCCTGTTTAAAAGTCTCCATGTCTAAGTGGTTCCTAATGAACAGATCAGAAATAAGTTTTATTTTACATAATTTCCCAACTGTCTGTGCCACTTTCCCACCACTGTAACGGTCTCCTTGCTTGTTCTAGCTACCAACAAATAACACTTTTGATCTGTGTCTTCTATTGGCAAAATAATTCAAACTTCTTTGTCTTACAAAGCCTTACTAACATCATATTCAGCCATACTTCCAGTAACTGAACATTTAATTACAACCATAAAAATTCAGCACACCATGTTATATCAGCCACAGGTACAAGACAAGAATACTCCCTATGCATATCTCTCTTCAAGTTATCAACTCGAATAAGTATGAAATTTCAAACATTGCCATTGTTTTAAGTATATAGAGGCTCCAGATGCAGTGTTCTGGAAATTTTATTGTACAACTTACATGAAATTTACAACCTTCAGGCATTATATTGTGGTGAATGTTAGTCAAGTGGAGAAATACACAAAACTGCTGATCAAATCAATATTCCACTGTTCACATTTACACCATGGATAACTAGGGGTCAATATTTTATGGAGTCCGTAAATATGCAGCCTGGCTGATAAACACCGAAAAATAAACAGTGCTCTCTTCTTCTGTGGTGAGTTCAACAGAAAGTGGCTTTTGATATGGTAATATTTTCAGACAAAATTCATGTGCTAATTTCACAGTATAAAAACTATGAACATGCGTGTGCACAAAAAATGAAAAACCTATACTGAACTAAACATGATCCTGCTGTTTCATTGTTATACAATATGGCACAAAATTTTATCCATGAACTTCATTGTGTGTGCAAATTGGGAAAAGACTGCCATCACTCAATTTCAGGGCAATTTTTTTATCTTGCTTCCTTATAAAACATATTCTTCAAAGTGAAAGCATGGCATATGGCATGCAAAATCTCTGTATATGTGAATGTGGGAGGACATGAGGTTGTCCCTTTTTGTGATTTAGCAATGTTATGTTTACAAGCATGGTAATGCACAGATGAAATGCAAACTCCTTCTGTGCTCATGACTGGAAAAAATAACAAGTTCATAAGTGTCTTACACATCTGAAGACTATAGAAGACTGGAAGTACACATGTCTTGGGTTCATACCTGATAGCATTACATCAGTTCTTTACAGCACCACTGACTGTGTCCAGGTGTTACAAAGGATGAGCCCAGTTTCACAGATATGCTAATTAAGGCTTATTAGTTACCTAACAGATGGTAAAAAAATGCATAATGAAGAGCTTCACAGTTTGTATTCTTCACCAGACACTGTTAGGGGCACACAGCAGTGTAGTTGGTTGAGGCACTATGCTACAAGCTGGAAGTTTGCAGGTCTGAGTCCCAATGAGGTGGATTTTTTTCAATTAATCTAATCCTTCTAGCTGCACTATGGCCTTGGGTAAATTCAGCCTCTCACAGAAATGAATACCAGGAATCTTCCTGGTGTGTAAAGGGCAGCTGGCATGTAAGGCTGACAATCTTACCACCGTCTGAGAACCGAATGTCTAGAGAAAATGTGGAAGCCTTAACATTTCACAACCCTATGGGCCTTCACTGTCTGTTACAGGGATAGCTTTACCTTTTACTTTTTTTTTTTTTTTTTTACCAAGGAATGTTAGGGTCATCAAATCACAGATAAGCCAGGTGGGACACGTAGCATGGTCAAGATAAGGCATATAGAATTTTCGTTGGAAACCCTAAGGAAGGAGAGGACACTTGTGAGAACTAGGCTTAGATGGGAGGAATATTATGTTAGTTCTAAGAAAACTATGGTGTAATGGTGTAGACACAATTCATCTGGTTCAGGAGAAGTGCAAGGGTGGCCACTTGTGAACAGGGTAATTCATTAAAGGAACAACATTTCTTGACCAGCTTTGCAAATCCTACTGGGCTGTGATTGCCTGCAACTGTAAATACATGTTCAAAGTGATGATGTTATTTTATATATTTTAAGAAGAATATTTCTGAAGTACACATTCTGACCATGCCATATTAGTCAGGTATAGCCCAAAAGTTTTGCAACATCACCATGTTTCTATTTTACAGCTCTCAGATTTCATTGTTTAGCTGTCATGTGCTGCAGGTGTTTCAACATTACACTGAACATTTCAGATGGCATCTTAAAAAAGAATATCAGGTTATAGGGGAAAATGGACTAACAGATATCACAAGAACATGTAACACACATACACACAGGATGGTAATTATAAAAGCCACCTTCTTTCCTAAGTCAAATAAAGTCAAATAAACAAGCAGTTTCTTTTTACATCTTCATCACATATTATATATATGGAGAAAAAACACGTGTTATATATTGTGCATAAACTAGCTAACCACATTTAAAGCTTCTTCCATTATTAATAATTGACAATAACTATTGTCTTATGAATTTCTGAGTTTACAGAACAAAGATTATCACTTACCTTAGTCATCTCTTGCTTTAGTGGGTCTAAATTCATTTATTACCTCCTTTCAGATTTGAACATGTAATCATTTTTTTTGGATGAATAATGAAAATATTTTGAGTTATATGCACACGCACACACATCCACAAAATACTGGAACACGTAATGATTTCAGAGAAAACATATAAATACTCATAGAAAATGCTTGGTGATCCAACGATGAAATTTTACAAACACAGCAGAAAACAGCAGTTTAATTGCAGAAAAATTCCTGCATTCCTTTACTTTCAAAGTCCATTTACCTGGCACATTGTTGACATAGCAACCATCAACGAGTAAGTGTCCATCCCTAGGATCACAGAAGGGTGGAAATATCCCTGCTATTGTCATGCTGGAGCGCACGTAACGCCACAACGAACCTGCAGAGACACTCTTAAATCAAAGCAACAATAGGAGGGATACAGAAAGCCAGGTGATTAAGAATTAGATAGGAGAAGGAACTGGTTCTTGCCTGGTAAGAATTATTAGTTGAAAACTGAAAAGCAGACATGCAAACAGATTCATTCTAAACACAAAAACCAAATAATACACAGCAGAGTTATTTTTTCACTAGGGCAAGACACATGCAAGGGGAGAGTAAGACTTCCTAAATGAAGAAGACTATCCCTGCAAAAAGTGGCAGTAACTGAGGATTCAGTTCCTAGTACATCTACTTTGAAAGAAAGACCATATACTGTTTCTTGGTTTTGAACATAGTTTTGTATGTGCTGTTTTGATTCTCAGATGCTTGTCTTCACAAGGACAAGCATCAGGTTAAACATTGGTGCCATGACATGTGTTTTCCAGTCTTCACAGCAAGGCATATCTCTAGCATTTTGGTTGTTAAATTAAATTTGTTTATTTAGGTTTTGCATGTTCAAAGCTTCCAATGGCAAATGAGAATACAAGCAGGAGAGTTGCAAATCTGAGCTCGAGTAGCAGATGTCTGAGTTTTCACATAAAATTGCTGCCATGAATTACATTGTAATATGTAATTGTAATATGTTTCAGCAATGTTTTTGACAGCTATATCAACGTTGGCAGACTTGCATAGCGGCCAACGGCAACTATTTTGAGGGCCGATGTGGATCTGCATAAGTGTATGTGAATACCTTGTAATATGATGCGATAATACCACATTCCACGAACTTAATGACTACCACGTAGACTGCTCTACTGTCTAAAATAAATTTCAACCAGTGATTATGGTGATGAATATGTGAAGGGATGTTCTCCCCTTACAAGTGCAATATCCTGACTGTATACAACCTTCACACAGCACCAAGACCCTCCACACCCACAAAGACACATCAGTATTTCATATGAACCACTACCTAACCAGCATTCTCTACAAACTCCTACATTCATCTCCAAAATAAATGAAAAAGCCAATCCAACTCTGAAACCCACAAATACAGACAGTGAAGTTGGGGGATGCACACAAGAGTTAGCTAAAGTAGAACATTAAAACAGAAAAGGAAGAAGAAAACCATAATACAAGACTATCAATGACAGTATATATAGTCAATTTCATGTACAATACACGTGAGAAGACACGGTATTTTAAATTATGCGCCTTATGGTATACAAAGTTTTACAGGATCCACATGTTTTAAATCTAATGCAACACAAAAAAGTCCCATAAAATACACAACGATGTCACAGTTAAAAGACAGCAAGAAAAATTAATCAGTTAAGATGATAACTGAAATACAATCTAAAATAAACATAGAATGTATCAGTTATTAGCAGATAAAAGAACATGATATCAGGCATATTAAAGTGATGCACAGACAGCAACAAAACAACTGAGGCTAAAAACAGAGGAAGGAAGCAGTTGGAACTGATCTCAAACAACATACAGCACTGTTCACACAATATTAATATCTTTCATATACCAGCGAACCAAAGCAGTCTAAACACGCAGTAAAATAGTATAATGGCTTGTGATTGGTTTACCTGGGAGATTGTTGACATATCCACCATCCAACAAAAGATGTCCATCAGTAGGATCACACAAGGGTGGCATGTAGCCCGAAAGTGACATTGAGGCCCGTATATATCGCCATAATGATCCTGTAAGAGATGTAGACATTACGAGACCTGAGAACTACAAACTACGATGGTGAAGTATCATCACGGCCAATCCATGGTTCTGAAGCTCTTCTATAAGATAAAATACATACCAACACAGAATGTCCAAAATGATTCAAAATGTATGATGAAAATTAATGATTTTAAAATATTATATCTGAGCAATACATCTGCATTTACCAGAGATCAAAATCTGAAAATCTGTACAGGTACCTTACTAAGACAGAATAAGAAAAATGAAAAGAGACAACTTTTAACAATAATAGTGTAATGGGGTTTCTACACAACAATGATATCTGCACAAGACATAAACAGATACTAACATATTGTCACGTGTTGGGTATGTGTCATGCGACAAATAACTTCGCGCCATATTGGATATAGCAAATTTATTGCACATTCGCTCTTACATTTATACAATTCACAGTTTCACAATTACTGCCATCTGCAGTATCACAATTACGTCTTCTGCTTCCATTCACTCCGGCAAATGCTAGACTGCAACTGACTGGTTACTCACTACTCTAGTAACTCTAATTACACTGACAAATACTCCTCGTTATGTAGCTTCTGCAATGACAACACAGAAAACGGTTACGTGATAGCTACGACTGTTGCGTAACGTCATTTTTACAGGTGTTGCAGGGGAACACTGCCGAGAGTTGTTTATTGCTGCGTAGTAACCATGGTTTCCCCTGTTATGTCACTGTGGGAAGTGCTGTTACGTCACAACGGGGAAGGAGGACAGAGTGTTGACTGGCCTGTTACCATAGCAGCAGCAGTTGCTCCTATGCTGTTATGTCACAGCTGAAGGGGGGGGGTGTTTACCGAGCGTTGCACCATCCACGTCACAATATCAACATTTCTTTCAGGGAGTCACAAAAATATCAAACTAAGTTCTTAAATTGAGTTACTTTGATATGGATCCACATTTTACAACTTGGTTTTGTTTTTGATAGTGAATACACCCTTATAAAGTGTAACCTAACAATGCACACAAGAACTCTGGTAATGTATAATTTTTACCTATGTTTAGATTGTTAAGACTAACATACATTATGGTTTTGTATTTAATATTAATAACTGTATTACTGTAGTGTGTCAGCTATTAACAGACTTCAAAAAAGCCTACGATTCAGTTAGGGGGGAAGTATTGTACAACATTCTAATAGAGTTTGGGATACCCATGAAACTAGTTATGTTGATTAAAATGTGTTTAAACAAAATGTATTGTAAAGTCAGTGTAGGCAAACATTTGTCTGATAAATTTCCTATCCAGATTGGTCTAAAACAAGAAGATGCTTTATCGCCACTCCTTTTCAACTTTGCCCTAGAATATGCAATTAGGAAGGTCCAGGGAAACCACGTGGGACTGAAATTAAACGGGACACATCAGCTGTTGGTCTACGCTGATGATGTGAATCTACTGGGTGATAATGTAGATACCATAAAGAAAAACACACAAACTTTAAATGATGCAAGTTAAGAGGTTGATCTAGAAGTCAACACAGAGAAAACTAAGTATATGTTACTGTCTTGTCACCAAAATGCAGGGCAAAATCCTGACATAAAGATAGGAAACAGATGTTTTGAAAATGTGGCACACTTCAGATATTTGGGAACAATGATAACAGATCAAAACCTGATTCAGGAGGAAATTAAGAGGCGATTGAACTCGGGTAATGCGTGCTACCATTCAGTCCAGAACCTTTTGTCTTCCTATCTGCTGTCCAAAAACATAAAAATTAGAATATACAAAACTATAATTTTGCCCGTGGTTCTGTATGGGTGTGAAACTTGGTCTCTGACATTAACATAGACTGAGGGTGTTTGAGAACAGGGTGTTGAGGAGAATACTTGGACCAAAGAGGGATGAAGTGACAGGAGGTTGGAGAAAACTGCATAATGAGGAACTTTAACTTGTACTCTTCTCCAAGTATAATTAGAATGATCAAGTCAAGGAGGATGAGGTGGGCAGGTCATGTAGCACGAATGGGGGAGACAAGGAATGTGTATAGGATATTGGTGGGAAAGCCAAA